CCCTGGAGAGGTGGAGGAAGGGGGTTTGGATCGGTGACCGTGACGTGAGAAATAGCCATGATAAGCAAGTAGCCCCCTGGCATGACGTTCTTTCCCTCAGTCGCCCCGTGAAAGGAGAGCAGATACTGAGAGGGGGGCGAGGAGGAGCCTCAGGTCCCCGGGGCCGGGGTGGCCACCGGGCTTGTGACCGGTTAAGGGATCTCGGAGGTTGTGCCGGGCATACGGTTGCCTTTACGGGCAAGAGGGGATCTTTGAATTGATTTTTTTTTTTAATGCCTTCTTCGTGTCATTGGTACTAGTGTACATGATACTGATTTTTTTTTTTTTTCCCTAAAACCTTATAAAATGTAATAGTTCTAATTCCATTTCCATAATCTTTGGAATTGCACTTCATTGATCTAAGAAATTTCCTTTTTCCTCCAGTCTTCTTCCCAGATTGTTGGTTTTAGGAAGATGTGATGGGAGGAAAAAGTGCATCCAAAATCAAAGTAGAAACAAGGGGTAAGAGGCCTTTTATTTAAGACTAAACCTTTAATTTAGTTAACTTAGGATTTCTACTAACTGCATAGTGGTCTATGTGAATCCTGGTGATTGTATCTGCTTGCTGTTTCTTGCCCCCCCCCCCCCCTGAAAGCCAGCCTGATTGTGCCTCTGTGTCTCCCGCAGTGGATAAGCGGATTGAGTCGGAGGAGTCTGGAGATGAAGAAGGGAAGAGGCAGGCGGTGCGCCTGGTGACAGACCTCAGCCAGCAGAGCCTGAGGGATGAGCAGAACGGGGAGAGCTCTGCAGGTACCTCGCCAGCCCGAAGGATCCTCTGGGGAGCTGTGGTCCTGGCAGTGCACACGGCAGCATTGCTTCTGGCCCTGTGTGTGATGGGTGTAGCCACGTTGGTGAACAGTGTGGATTTGTCCTAGGGCAGTCTTTTTAAAAAATAAATGAGTGTTATCGTGGCTAAAATACACCTTCCTCCTTTTTATGGACTAAAAAAAGCCTTTGGGTTTTTTTCTCAGTTAATTATCCATCCACATTTCTCTTTGAAATCTTTAACATCAGAATGCAAAACACCTTTCTTTATACTATGTGCAACCACAGTAACTTTCTGTGGAAGGATGCTGGGAACATTCATTAGAAATAAATATAAGCAGCTTTTCCTAATTTTGCTTTAATGTATATAGTTTTTTACCTAAAAGGTTGCCAGATTTCTTTGGAAGGCAAAGGCAGCTGTTTCTAGATAGATTGAAGGAGGCTGTCATTTTATTTTTTAATCTAAGAATTCTAAGACGTATCAAAATTTGATCTCTTTGAGTTCTCTGGACTTTTAAGTTTTTGCTGCTGTTTTTACTGTTTGTATTACAATGTGGGTAGAAATGTTGATGGACTTTTTTTAAGCCTGTGTTTGTTTGATGGAAGGGTTTTCTTCTCAGCAGCATGCATAGAATTTGTCAGAGCAGCTCCATTTCTGAAGACCCTGTATGGCAATAGCATCTGGGCTTTTGGTGCTAGCTCACAATCTGATGTGTAATAGCATCCTTTTGATAGAGATGTTTGTGTGATTGTTGCTGCTCTGGAAATGGAAGTAAAATAATACAGCAAATTGTCTGCAGCAGGTTTTAATCAGTTCTGACTGTGCATCTGCTACAGATCCCTCCTAATCTTAACCTTGCCCATTAGAATTTGCAAAAGTATTTTCCAAACTAGTAAATTACTGTGAGAATTTAAAATCTCATCTCCTGACTAAATGAATTCTATCTAGGTCTAATTCATTGGTGATCATAAAAAAAGCTTATATATTAATCAGGAAATGTGGTGATGTCTGTAAAAGCCTCACAAATTGTACTTTCCAAGCACTGTGTGGTTAATACAACTGCACAGACCAGTAAGCCACAGTTTTCCTTTGCATGGGTGTGACATTGAGAGTTCATTCAGTTGGTGTAGCTTAGCTATGTGTTTGAGGTTATATTTTGTGTATTTTTTCCCCTGGGAGTTACAATATTAGAGAGAATACCTCAAGTGACATACTTTTAATCCAGTGAAAGCAAGAAAAAAAGCAGTAATTACTGAATTACATTGGATACTATTTGATGAAATGACTGTATTGGTACTTCTTCCAAGCTCTTAGGGTTCAGAAAACTTCCACTAGTGCAGAAACCAACCAGAGGAGTAATTTTAGAATGTTTTGAGTTTTCTGCAGCCAGCTTTGAGTTCCTCAGCTGAAAGGAAAGTGAAGAGTTTTCCCCATTTTTCTCAGAAGATCACAGGTAGAGCTCAGGTAGCTGAAGTTTCAAATCCATCATTTAGCTGATTCTCTGAGGAGTAGCACCTCTGTCTAGAAAGCTTGTAGCTTAGCTATTTATAGTGTTTTTCATGCATATGTGATTAAGGAGTGTAGGTAGGCTTTTAGTTGCTTGTGGTACTGTAGACTTACATAAGTTGGTAGCTCAGGTTCCATGTTGCACCATTTGGATTTCCTGCATGATGTTTTTTTTTTACCCTACATCTGCAAAGCTCTGTAGCTTGCAGGCATGAGTTACACAAAAATTCACTTAAGTAACTTCCCAGCCAGAGCAGTGGTTTTTCCCCTTGAGAAACCTGCTGCATTTAAATTTAGGGACTGAAGCACTGTTTGCATAGTGAAGTGGAGTTACAGTTCTGTTTGTGAACTGAATGGTTGAAAGGTCAGCTCAGGGTGTGTCACGTCCACTTTGTTCATCAATAAAACATTGGTTGGCAAATGATAGGACTGTAAATTTTCCTTTCTCTTTCTTTGAGAGGAAATGTATTTTGGCATTCTCCTCCCAATACTGATTGATCAGTGTTAGCAGTGTGCACACCTCACTCTGACTGCTGTGGGGAGAGTGTTTTATACACAGCCCATAAACTTTGAGAGCTGGATTATTGCATAGATGCGAGTCCCTCTGTGCTCAGTTTTAAACTGCTTTTATTTCAGTGAATTTGATACACAGAGCCTGTGTGACTTGGTTTTGTGCCTTTGGAGTTGAGGGCTTTTTTTCCCCCTCTCACACTGACTCTAGCAGGACTGGTTACTCAAAGCCATATGACAAAAATACCTGTGACCAATCCCAGAGCAGAGTATTTAACACCTTGTCAAAACAAAATGTGTATAAATGGTCTGTAATGAAACACAATTTTATAGAGAAGCCTGACAGCCAAACAAGGTTGAAGAATTTTTTTATTTGAAGTTTTTTATCATTGTTGAAGAATTTTTTCTTTCCTGAGTGCATGACTGGCTTCACTGTTGGACAACCTGAAGGAGAAATTCCTTCACCACAAGCACTAACTTACTGCTAGTACAACTTAGAACGAGGGAAGTGGTTTGGGTTTTTATGTGATATCTCAAATAACTGTTGTTCCAAACTCAGGCTGTGTTCCTGTTTCCTGTAAACTCAGCCATGGTGCTTGTTTGGCTTGGAGTGCTTTGTGCTTGGAGCTTTTGCTGCCTAGAAATAGGTCAGAGAGATAGATCCTTGGTAGCAGCAGGGTTAGGGTATCCCACTCCCCTGCTGAAGTGCATGGCTCCTCATCTAGAGGAACAGCAAGAAAATTCAAGCAGTAGCCCAAATAAGCAAGTTAAATGATGGTGGATGAAGCTATCAAAACCTTGGAATTTGATGTCAGTATTAAAGATTGTAATGCTTGTACTGTTCATCCTTCCAATATCACCTGAAGTGCCAAGCATCAGTAAGCAGGAAAAACACTAAGTATAGGGGACATTTGGCAGTTACAAGGGTGTTGTAACTGTGCTGGGCTATAAAAATAGTCATTACTTCTAGGTGAGGGAAATGAGCTTGCAGTAATTCAGGAGTTAATTCAAAGCCTTTGGATTTAACTGTAATTAAAGCTTCCCTTTTGTTTTTTGGGAGTGTAGAGAGAAGTGACACACACAAAGTGGAAAGGGGTTGCACGTTGTCTGTCTGTTTTGCAAAGTCAGATTAGACTTTGGAAGCTGCTGCAGCCAGTACACCATCTTCAGCAGAGGGGAATCAGCAGGCATGAATTATCCAGCATGGATTTCTCCAGGAAACTTTGCTCCCTCTTGTGCTGTGACAGCAGCACAGCAAATGTCGGCCTATTTTCCAGAGCTATAAAGGCATTTCCCAAGAAACAGTGTGATAAACAACATTTGGAGCATATTAATGAGTTCAGTCAAACAGAAGAAGGGAGCTCTGTGCAGAAGTATATGCAGCATTGACATAAACTGAGAGTATTTGTGAAGAAAAAGCTGGAGGGTGGGATTGCTGAGATGCTTTGTCGTTCCTGGCGTTATCACTAGACACTTTAGATTCCTTATTTGCTATGTTATTTGAGGTTGGAGGAGGTGCACAGACAATTTTGAGTCATCTATCTTCAGAGGGATAATGGCCCTAAGTGTAAAGAAAAGCAATCCTGGCCAGGTCAGTCAGCAGCCACACAGGCAGGCTGGGGAGGGTGCTGTTCTTTCTGTCTTTTGCATCTAGGCATGAAATCCTGTGATTAAGAAAGCTTTTTTGTTTTTTTTCTCAACTAGCTGTCACGATGAAAGCCAAATAGGTGAAGTGTATTTTTAATGCTGGAGAGTATCTGAACTGTGCATCTCATGTGTTTCTCTTTCTGAGGAGCATTTGCTCCCTTAGTCTCTCTGCACGTTTAGCCATTTTTATCTTGCCTTTAGCTCTCAGGTAGCAGAAGTTTATACAAACTGTTTGCTTCTCCTGCAGGGGAAGCAGAGACACCAGTGGACATGGAGACAATTAGCCTGGACCCAGAAGCTGAGGTAAAGGCAGACTTTTATCCTTTATACAGTGGGAGGAAAAGGTAGGCAAAAGTGAGTATTGAAATTGGGTTAAAAGATCTAAGTCTTGGTTACGATCACCTTCCCCTGAATTTATTCAGAGCCTTTAGACTGGAAGTTGAGGTGTTTTATTCTTGATCATGATCTGAAACGTTTTGTTAGTAGCTTAGAATTTAAAATTAAGCATGGAGGCCCTGAAAGCAGGGCTGTGCTGCAGGCATTACTGTGAGCTTTTGTGGGAATATCTCTTCATGAACTGATTGCTGCTGCAAGACTCATGATTTGCAGTAGGCACAGCTACTTAACTGGCCTTGTGCATTGATGCCAGCAGCCTCATGAGCCTGTTAGCTGGAGAATATTGGAGCTGTGGTGGTGAAGTACTCTGTGTCTTCTTGACTGTCTGACCTGCAGAATGAGAACATCTGGGACTTGACAGCAGAGATGTGAAGTGGATCAGCTGAGTGCTACTGCACAGTTAACGTTCCTGGAACCACTGAATTATTTAACTGAGTGGCTCCTGTTCACCTGAGGCCTGGAACTGGAAATAGCAAAGTGTTAAGCCCTAGTAAATTAAGGGAATTTTATTCAGCACTTGATGTGTGCTAGACAGCAGAATTCGTCTGTCTCAAGAAATTCAGAATTCACTGCAAAAGACTTTTAATTTTGGTGAAACAATGCTCAGACTTAGGAGAGGGCAGTTGCCTTTTTGCAGGTGCTGTGTGTGCAGCTGACAAGCTTGGGCCATGTGCTTTGTCCATTCTGTTAAAACCAGTTAGCAAACCCAATTTTCACAAGCTCTTCACTGGGAAATTTTAATGAACTACACTTTTTTTTTTTTTAAGACTATACTGATCTTTCTATTTCTCTTTCAGGATGTTGACTTGAATCATTTCCGAATTGGGAAGATTGAAGGATTTGAGGTCCTCAAGAAAGTGAAGGTAGCACTTCTAAGGAATAGAGAATGCCTTTTGGAGCTGGAGATTTTGCATATCTAACCTGTAAGAGGACAGATAGAGGAGTGACATTTTGGCTGAGATCCTAATGACTTCACATTTAACTGAAGGAGGTGGTGCTTGCCCCTTTGTCAAGTAGTCATAAAAATCCTGGGATTTTGCAAGTTAGTTTTGGAAGTGAGACAACACATCAGGGCTTATCCTAAGAGAGAAATTCTGCACTTGCACAGCAAGCTTCACACAGAATGCTGTAGATTACTAGGGACCTATGGAGGACCTTTCCAAACACCTGCTTAAAGCAGGCTGAGTTAGAGCACGTTGCTTAAGGCCTTCTCTAGTCAAGCTACTGAGTATTGACAAGGATGGAGATTCCATAGCTCCTCTGGGCTGCTGTTAACATTCTCTGACCATCTTCATGTTAAAATTATTTCCTCTGTAGAGTTGAAATGAAAAGAAAAGATTCTACTTGAAAGAAAAACCAACCCACAACAAACAAAAAAACTAACAAAACTTAATAGAGGGGAAAAAAAAACCCAACAACCTTTTTGGCTGTATGCCAAAAGGCATGACATGCTGTTATTCCTATTTATTTTCCTGCTTGTTTTTTAACTTCTCCCCAACTGTTAGACCCTGTGTCTCCGTCAGAATTTGATTAAGTGCATTGAGAACCTGGAGCAGCTGCAGACCTTGAGGGAACTGGATCTCTATGACAATCAGATTCGGAAGATTGAGAACTTGGAGTCTCTGGTGGATCTTGAGTGAGTCTGGGGGAGTCGCCAGGATTAGGTTGGGGGTGGGTTGCCACTCACTGAATACTCCTGCTGTATTTATTCCAGTGTTCATCACCCAGGCATTACTCATGTGTCATTTGGGTGCTCTGTGGAGCACTGTTCCCCATTGATATCTAACCTGTGAAGTAAACCCATTTCCTTTTCCTGAAGCTCAGCAGGGGCAGTCAGCTGGAGGTGGAGTGTGTGCTGTGTGAGGCAGGGGGGATGGCAGGTGGCTGTAGTTTCTCTGCAGGTGAGGAAGTACTCAGGCAACCCTCACTCTTGGCAGCAAGAGTTCTGTACAGCAGGTTTCTATTCTTGAAAAAAATGACAAGATTTCAGGTGAGATTAGGGGTTTTTTTTGGAGGGTGTTGTGAAAGGAGCAGTGCTCTTCCCAGTTTTCTGGTGCTTGTCTATGATCACTTTGGAGATAGGTTATGAAACTGTTCCCATGGGGTTGAGGAGGACTGACCTACTTCTCACAGTCCTAACTGCTTGATGGTTCTGGGAGGTCTTGACACTGTTCTGTCAGAGGCAGACTTTGTAGGCACATACCTTTCCCAAGGGATAGACAGCACTGAAGATTGGCTGTCTCCAACAGTGGCAGCTCCATGGCTGAGCAAAATGTCTCTCTTCTGCATGGGACAGATGTTGTGGGTTTTGTTTTGTTGGTTTTTTTTCTCTAAAACAATGTAGAAGCATTTTGAAAGTTATATTTGTTGTCATTTCTGGGAAAAAGAAATTAGACTTCAGCTTCAAGATGTAGCAAAGTGCTTGATCTCTGCAGATAGTGAGGTTCCCCACCCATTTACAAGTGCCTCTTCCAGAATCATCCATGCCTGATGGACTGAAGAGACCTTTATTTCATTTTACTTCAGGATCCTGGACATCTCCTTTAACGTCCTGCGGCACATTGAAGGACTAGATCAGCTTACCCAACTTAAAAAGCTCTTCCTTGTCAACAACAAAATCAGCAAAATTGAGAATTTGGGCAACTTGCAGATGCTGCAGATGTTAGAGTTGGGATCCAATCGAATTCGGGTAGGCTTTCTTTACAAGATGTTAGCTGGAGTTTGTTGAGCTCTTTGGCTTGGGATTAGCCCTTTTTGGAAGTGCATTTCATTGGCTTTTGCTTGCTGTTTTGTTCTTTTTATCTCTTTTTTGGTTGCAGTCATTTAATGTGTAATTGCTTGCTGCTGCACATGCTGGAGCCTTTAATTATGTATGCTTGTAGTGCCTGGCTACTAAATTACTGTTTATGACTTCTCTTTTTAATGAACTGGTGCATCCCCTGTGTATTCCCTTTTGCAGGTTATGGTTTCCTTCTGCTAGAGAGCCAAGCCTATCAGTGCTAGGAATTATTGTTTTCTCTTGCCTTCCTAGAGGCTGGAACTGTGTTGATAAAACTGTTGAATGCAAATTTATTTCTAGTTTGATTTGTATGTGTGATTGATAACCTGCTATGTCAATCCTTCTCTCTCAGGAAAAAGATTTTCTTGAGGCTTTGCTCTGAAGTGCCTCAAAAACCTGGTAGTGTACTACTGATTGCTTTAGGTTTTGGATTGTGCAGTTTGTGACTTTTTCAGCTTAGGTGATTTGAAATCTGTGCTACTTAAAGGGAAGCACTGTCCTTAAGGTTTGCTTTTCTACATTATGCCCAGTTTGTAAGAGAACTGGTGAAACACGTGGCACAAAAGACTTAGAAACATGCAAAGTAAACTATTAATTTGTTAGAATTTTTCAGTTATAGACTTTAGAAAATACTTGTAACAGAGGAGTGCATTTCAGTCTGAAAATTGTCTTAAGTTGGTGCTCTCCATTTACAAGAGCTGAAAAATTGTTATGCTGAGAGAGCAAATTAGGAAAAAAACTGTTTGTCCTCTGTGTTTGAAGTCCTGTGGAAGCACCTTAGCTACTTAAATTTACTTTATTTTTAGTGGTTTTTTTTCTGTTTACTTGTTAATTCTATACCTTAGCTACTGAAATTTACTTTATTTTTAGTGTTTTTTTTTTTTCTGTTTACTTGTTAATTCTATTCTGGCTTCTTCAAACAGAAGTGCTTCTAGTTGCTTTACTGGAGTGCTCCTGTGCCTAAGCTAGGCATGAAGAAATACATTGCTTGTTATTTGAGGGCACCTAGAATTCTTCTAATAGTTTTCTGTTTGCAGGGTGGCCTGGCTCTGTGCTTTACAGGTGGGCATATCCTTAACTCTTTAGTGTAAAAGCCTAGAGTCTGGACTGTCTGTTCAGGCAGCATTCTTGGCATTTTGGTGCACCCTCTAGCCTTTTGGAGTGCCCTTATCCTGGAGTTCATCATCACCTACCAAGCCCTTGCAGTTCTGTTCATTCTGTCTGGGTGGTGGGGAAGCAGAACTTCATGCTTGAGCTGACACATTTCATGGCTCTTTTGCCAACGCTGGACTGAGGCAACTCTAAGGCAAGCACTTTTTGCTCCTTAGGTTTTTCAAACTCATGTCCATCTGTTTCATACTCTTGCTTAAGTGTGCCTTTTTTGTAACTAAGTAGCTTTTTTTTCTCCTGACTGTTTCTTCTCAGTATCCTGAGAGTTACAAGTATTAGCTCCCCCAGCCCTGAGGAGGAACCAGTGAGCAACAAATCTATCATTTTCTTGCAAGATTAAAACAGGGTTAAGTCCCCAGGCTAGGAGGAGGATGAATCCAAACCTGAGATGATGAACACCTTAACTTGAATCTGTTGGCAATAATGACGTAGAAATTGAAAAGCTTCTATCCTATATCCATATTACTGTTACTCTGTGAGCTGAAGTCCTTTTATAAAAGTTCTTGTCTCTTTTAACAGCACCTGTTTTTGAATTGAGATAATTTCCCCTGAGAAAAAGAAGTGTGTTCTTTCCTTGTGTTTGCAGGAGCCTTTTCTAAGCCAAACATTTCCCCCTTTACTTGCCTTCTTTTTCTCTCTTCTGTTCATGCCTTCTGCTGCCCCTTGCTTTGTAAATAAAGAGTATGGTTCTTGATGCCTCACAGAGATTCTTACTTTCTCCCACAGAAGGCTGAGCTCAGGACTTAAACTGGTATAGTGTATATGTTCTGCCAGTAGCATGTATATTTAAAACATGGCCATAACTAACTTCAACTGCTCTGTGTGTTCTGCCAGTAGCATGAATATACAGCCAGTAATATGCATTAACACATACACCCATGAGACTTGTTAACCTTGCTTATGACAGGGGAACTTGTGCAGAGAAGCTGAACAGCTTGCCTCAAATTGTGTTATTCAGTCACTGATGGTCAGGACTAAATCTGCAGATTGTATTTTCTCCTCCCAGATTCTCTTTCCATTCACTAGTGGCATATTTTTCTTGCTTCACAAATGAGCATCTCCTGCCCTGGATGTACCTCACAGCCCAGAGAATGTCGCTTTCAGTGTTCCCTGAGCCTTCTTATTCTCTGATCTTGCTGCCTAGACAGTGGAGGGAACAGCCAGGACAAAGCAACGTGACCTTTGCTGGAAAGCAGTGGACAGTAGTGACACAAGCCAGCTGTCACACAGGATGAGGTTCTCTTGTCACTGCACAGAGTCCTGCACTTAGCTCTGCTCTTGGGTCACAGGGGAGGCCCTGCCTCGTGCACGCCGTGTCTGGGGAGTTGGTAGGCTTGTGTTTCTCAGGAGTGCAGCTCCATGGGTCAAGGCTATAAAATACCAGGCTAAACCTACAGGTTGGAGTTTTGCACCACAGCAATAACACTGCCCTTTTGTCATTTTGTAGACAATTGAAAACATTGACACCTTGGCTAATCTTGACAGTCTGTTCCTTGGAAAGAATAAGATCACCAAGCTCCAGAACTTGGATGCACTGACAAACTTGACTGTGCTCAGTATACAGGTATTGTACTTTGTGCTGTTACAGTTTGAACAGCCTTGGTTACAGGAACCACCTCGAATTTATGATAAGCTCTTTCTGAATCAGCATGTCTTGTCCAGGACCTGCAGAGTTACCTACAGCAGAGCATAGTGGGGTTGAAGTGTTGTAACTCCTGTGCTGACCCTTCCATTAAAAAACACCTACAAAATATATGCTCTTCATGTGTAGGCCTGTTGTTTCTAAAGACACCAAGTGGAAAACTTTCAGGCTACAGCTTTTGGTGGGGAGGTCAGAGCCTGATTCTTTAAACCAGGAGACTTGCTCCCGTGGAACTTGCTTGTGCGTTGGTGGTACCAAACGAGCTGAGCTCGTGGGATCAGCATGGACCCGAGGAGATGTTTCACAGAGGAGTGACGTGGGGTTTGGTGTGTTTGGAGTGGATGTGAGCAGCTGTTACCCTTTCAGAATAACCGCCTGACCAAGATTGAGGGGCTGCAGAGCCTGGTGAACCTGCGCGAGCTGTACCTCAGCCACAACGGCATCGAAGTCATCGAGGGGCTGGAGAACAATGTGAGCAGGCTCTTGCTACCTCTGATACAGCTGTTGCCCCAAACTGCTCCTCTTAGTGCCTGTGCCTTGCTGGAAGCTTTTCTTCCTCAGCTTCCTCCGTTACATGTAGGGTCCTTAGTCCCTTGAAGAGACCACAAAGATCCAAGTATTTGTCACGTTAAAATTTGTTGCATGGATGAAACTCCTCCAGGTCTCCTGGAGCAAATTGTTGTCGTGACCTGGGGAGGGGAAAGCACAAGATGTGGTTAATCCAGCAGTCTGACTGATCTTTAGCAACAAAAATACAGATGGGTACTTAATGTAGTACAAGGAAAGCTTACTTTTTAGGAGCCCTTGGCTGGCAGTTGCCATCAGGCCAGTAATTCCTTTTTTGTCACATACATGGCTTCTGGGAGGTAAATAACCTAGCCTAATTAAAAATAATCTTCCTTGATATATTTAGACAGAGTTTTTGTGCTGCATGTAAGCAGCTGCCAATAGTGTCTTTGCTTCTGATGGTTTCCAACTCTGGGCTTGAAAAAAAGTGGGAGAGAGAAGATGAAAGGAAATTTGGTCTAATGGATTTGTGTTTGTTCGTCTAGGACAAACTCACAATGCTGGACATTGCATCCAACAGAATCAAGAAGATTGAAAATATCAGTCACCTAACAGAGCTGCAGGAATTCTGGGTGAGCACATGCTGGAGCTGTTCCCTGAAATGTCTGTAAAACAGTGAAAGAAACCCTTCTCCTGGGCAGCAGTGGCAGGGTGCTACATGTGTATGCCTTGGAGTAAACCCTTCTTGTTCTGGTGACCAGCTTTAAGCTCTTGACAGTCTGCATGAATAGGGTATGTGATGGTTTCCCCCAAGGAAAGAGTTACACTTAAAAGATCCTTTGCAGGGCTTTGCTTAGTGCTAAGGAGCCTGTCTCTACCTAGGAGATAGGCCCTGTCTTCATGCTTGTGGTGGTTATGAAACAGCCCTGCTGTGTCCTATTTTTCCAGATCCCCTTTACATGAGCATGGCAGTGTAAGAGGGAAGCTGATACTGCCTCACCTCTGCACTGGAGCAGGGTGCCTCTTCACAGCCAAGTTCCTATGTCATTACAGATAGGAAGATAACCAACCAGCTTCTTGTTGCCTCCCAGTCCTGGGAGGTAGATAACTGTTAAGGGTTGCTTCTGTTTCTTTCTGGAACTCTAAACAGCTAAACACTGTCATTCCTAACTTTGGTCAGGAAATACCCAGAGACACCCACTCCTGAAGCATCAGTACCCTGCCATATGTGAGAGCTGTGTACAAATCTGCTCCTATTTTTGTCATGCTTCCCTTTAATGGCTTAGGGAAGGAGAATTTCAAATCCTGGGCAGAGTGGGAATCTTCCAACAGTTTCCTAGTACCACCTCCCCAGCAGAGGGACTGAGGCATCCAAAGGTGAAGTGACTTGGCTGAAGTAATGTTGTGATGAGCTGTAGCAGAATGGAGGAGCTGGCAGGTTTTCTTCAGAGTCTTAGTCTCAACTGCAAAGCCATCTTCAGCTGGAACACTAGCAGTCCCAGTGATGAAGCAGTTTTCTTTCACTGAACTAGCTGGGGAGAGGCTGCTGGAGAAAATATTGCTGCTTAAATGCCACACAGCAAACAGTGCAAAAAGTTTCCAGTTTAGCTGTAGTGGCTGCCTCTGTATCCAAAAGCAGAGAGTGGCTGAAGTCTCTAGGTTGGACAGCATATGGCCACCTATCACACTTTGCTTCCTTGCCAGGCAATTGAGGCATCATCCCCTTGCATGGGAACTCTTCTGCAGTGCCAGCAATGAGGCAGCTGGAGTAGAACCTGAATCAGAGAGCTTGGTGCTTTCTCTGGAGTGCAGCAGTTTTTGTGATTTAAAGAGGAGAGGAAAATGCCAATTTTCACATCAGTTTGGGACCTCCTGTGATGTTTCCTGGGAAATCATGAGAGTAAAGATAGATGTCACAATGGAAGGAAGCCTTGACGTGAAGATTTCCAGCCCTTAGATGAGCAGTGTATGGCCTGGGACACGTCCAGAGGAGAGTGTCAGCATGTCTTGCTGGGTCTGTCCCAGCATCCTGGTTAGACTGGATGTGCTGTCAGAAGGGTGGAGCATTCGACCGGCCACCCAGGGCAGCATAGGGATGGACCAGGCCTGGAGTGTCTGGCAGGAGAGCACCTTGGAGATTCTGGGGGAAAAAGAATCATGTAGGGTCATCTTCTGTGTGTGTGGATCCTTGGCATGGGCCAAGGCTGCCCCTGGGCAGCAGTGATCCCCCTGGGCAGTGCCAACGTGGGCAGCTGCCTGCTGACCCTTAGCCTGGGGCTGTCAGGTTGTGTGAGGGTGCCTGTGTGTGCTCTGCAGATGAACGATAACCTCATCGAGAGCTGGAGTGATCTGGACGAGCTGAAAGGAGCAGAAAACTTGGAAACTGTCTACCTGGAGAGAAACCCCTTGCAGAAGGACCCCCAGTACCGACGCAAGATCATGCTGGCCCTGCCCACCGTGCGGCAGATCGACGCCACCTTCGTGCGGTTCTGAGCCCCCCGCCCGGGGACACCCCCCAGCTGGGCTTTTTAGCCACTCACCACGCCCCACGCCTTCAGTCCTCTGACACCCACAGATGGTCCATGAAATCACTGAGTACCAGACCTTGTGTACAATGCACTCGTTGTTTTTGAAATGATGTTGTTATTATTAAATCTTAACAAGAGACTTCCCTTGGGCTTGTGGCTGTTATTGACGGGGCAGGTTTTGCCAGCAAGAGTTTGCAACAGGCTGAAGCTGCTTGCAGCCACGTGCTGACTTTCGTTGGCTCTGTGACACACCTTCAGGTTAGTAATGCCCTTGCAAACATCCCTTCCAGGTCTGGCATCAGTGGTGGTCTGTAAAAATGGGAAAAGGTGGAGATGATGAAGTAGATGTGGGGAAGGATCTGATAAAAGAGATGCCCGTGCCAGTTATCAGGTGTCAGTCAGGGCTAATACCTCCTTGTAAAACTCAGGTTAGCTTCTCCATAGCAGTTCCTGGTTTTTTTAGACACAGCTACAGGCTCATTAGAGGATTGAGAATAAGTAGCTTGAGGTATGAAAGCAATGTAGGGCTGTACATGCCTGAATAAATTGCAGCCCTTCATGGAGCCACTATTGGCAGAGCTTCTATACTTAGTGCTGTAGGCCAGGGTGGGAATGGGAAAAGGGGTTAAAAGGGATGAGATGAGGCTACCACTTGAGGAGGTAAGTCTGTGCTTACAGATACTTTATTGGTGGCTGTGGCTTTGTTGGCCTTCTAATTTCCCAGGAAATTTGTCAGACCAGAGCACAGCAGATGCTGAGGTATGTTACTCGTCCCTGGACTGAAGCTGAGGCTGCTTCCACCTCTCTTCCAGAGTGGGAGAGTGCTGTATATGGCCTGTGGCCTGCAGTTCCCTGATGGTCATGTTGAATGTCTCCACTGCCTGAAGTGAAGTCAAAAGGCTTTAGTGGATGTTCTGATTTTTATTGAAAATGAGTGGAGCTACTCTCAAGGGATCCATTGATTTAGTAGGACTTCAAATGTGTCCTTCACCTTAAAAGTGCCATCAAAGTCCCTTGGTAGAAACCTGTAAAACCCACCTGCTTGGACTGAAACCCATAAAACCCACCTGCTTGGACTGCTGAATGCTTGGACTGCTCAGACTGGAGAGGAGTAAGACACAGCCCTCTGTAAGGGGCTTAAAGGCCTTTGTACTGATGGAGGAGGAGACAGCAAGATGGTGTAGTGAAAGCTGATGATTGTTTCAGCACCATACATCTATCTGTCATTGGATCTCTGCTGAGCAACAGCTGTCATCTTCAGGCTGGCAGTGCCCACTGGAGCAGGCTTCATTCCACAGGAGCCCTCAAGTGCTTTTGCAAGTCTCTGGCACTTAGGAATTAGTCCAGATGGTTCTGGGGCCAGCTTATTCAGTTCTCTGTCAGCACCTTCATTTGGTTGTTATTAATACTGAATGAATACAGCTGATATTAATATATTAACTCAAGGTAAGGGTTTGGTGGTGCTTTGTTACAAGTGGTGTTTGCTCTCAGAAAACAATGTGATTCATGTCCTGCTCCCATTACCTGTGGTGAGGTGGTGTTGCTGTCCTGCTGCACCCATGTTTGATCTGGCAATTGAACTTCCTCTCTCCAGCAGCTAGAAAACCTCTGACACTGTGTTTGTCCAACAGTTGTGGCCCAGGGGAGCAGCTGCTGCCCACGCTGGGCCCGTGGGGGTGTTTCAGTGTGTGCTGGCTGAAAGAAGAATCGAGTGGGTCTGCATCAAGTGCAGAGATTTCTGTGCGTGCCAGCCTTGAGGAACTGTCTGTTCAGTGAATCTGGGAGATATCTGGGAGATGTTTCCACTGTGGTCCATAGTGTTTGTAGAGGAGCATAGCAGTGAAATGTGTTTTAAATGTGAAAGCTGTTCCAGGGTTGTGTAGGTTTGGACGTTCACTGCAAGTTCTTGCTGTTTGTTCAAGGTTCAGCCCCGTGAGAGCACCAAGTCCTGCAGGAGAGCAATGCAGGGAACGTGGTGGCTCTGGGATCTGCTGCCCTTCCCAGCCATGGGCTTGGCACATGCTCTCTTGCCTTGCTGCAGACTTTGTCCTGGTGTGGAAAACCATCCCCTGGGACATGAGCGGGCAGCAGGACAACCACAGGAGTGGGGACTTGCAGGAGAGAGCTGCCACCCTCCACAGGACCTGTCAGAAGAAGTTCCTGGATAAGCTTCATGCTGGAGCAGTGGTGCTGTGGGATGTGCTTGTGGTCACCACTACAGAGTCACCCCAGTGCCTCCTGCACAGGCCACTGCAGGAGAGGTGTGGGGTGACAGCTCACTGTGGCCAGTGCCCCCAGTGCTCCCATTCTAGGCAGCAGACTGGGCAGCTGCTGGCTGTGGGCCCCTGGTGGAGTCTGCAGCCTCCTTTCTTTCCAGTGGACCCAGCAGTCCCTAGTCACCAGTCTTGTCCCACTCACAGTCACGAGTTCCCACTTTGCCCAGTGCCCCATCCTCTCTTCCCCTGGCCCTTGGAGAGCAGGCTCTTGGGTTCAACACAGCTCGGGCACTGTTCCTGCCTGGCTTGGCTGCCACCTTGCTCCTGCTTCTTCCTCCTAAGACGTTCCCACTGCCCAAACAGACCTCCAGCCAGCATGCTGCAGCAGCTGGGCATCACCAACCTGATGGCCTGAAGGTTCCCAACCTGCTGCTGGACTACTGCACCCCAGCAGGGGCCATGCCAGGAGGTGCTCCCCAGATGGAAGGCACCACAGGAAGGGGCAGACAACCCCCTCTGCCAGGCACCAGACTTTGCTGAGCGGCTTCTCTCTGCCCTTCCAGGTTCCTGGGGGGCAATGAGCAGGACACCTTCTTCTGTTGGGCTGGCTGTTGGGGCTCAGCCACAGCACCTGGTGCAAAAACACCACTGAACTGCTGTGGGATGACAGCCTCGCTCGCTGGGGGACAGGAATACAGGCTGGGGGACAGGAATACAGGCTAAGTCAGTGTGTTTCAGGAGAAAAGTTCAGATATCTGCGACTATGAGATTTGTACTGTCTCTGGGGGTGGAGATCCACCAAGCTGGCCTGCCAAACGGATGAAGGAGGGAGTCTGGTGAAGGTAAGACAGTCCTGTTTGGGTTAAACCAACAGAAGCAAACAGCTCTTATATGAATCTTGAAGGCCAGAGTGTTTGAGTGAAGACCTTGGCCTGATGAATGGCAAAATTATTAAAGTGTACACCCCTAAAGAGGGTAATGAGCCTAATGGAGGGAGTACATGCTAAACACATAGGCCTGTGTTACTCAACTCCACCCAAATCATCCAAGGAGTTACCTAGAAGGCAAGGACAAATGGCATCAGAATATTAAAAAAAATAAAAATCACAAGCTCAATACCTCTCAGATGCTGTGAGGGGGGAGAAGACTCAAAGACTAGCAGAGACAGTTGATGTGCTGTACTCCTCTTCTTCCACCAAAGACAGCAATGACTTCACCTTCAAAGTGTTTCTCTTCCAGTTCATCACCTTCTACACCTCTCCTGCTTACACTGCCTTCTTCATGGGGCAAGCAAGGCCTTTGGGGGCAGCAGGGGGCTTCCCCATCTCCTTCAGCCCTTGGGGTCTCCAGGTTTCGCAGGGCTGAAAGACAGGAGGGTGCTGCTGCCTCCACGGGCAAGGAGACCGTGGCAGGGAGGGACAGTTCCACCAGAGAGCAGGAGCCCTGGCAGGGCTGTGGGGTGCCTGGGGGGCAGGGCAGTGCCAGCCTGCTGTGGGCTCACTGCTGCAGCTGGTCCCTGCTTGGGCCTGGGGGACCCTCTCCAGCAGAGGCACCCACTGCCAGCCCTTTTGTCCCCACTGGCGAGAGAGAAGAGGGCTCTGGGTGAACCCAAAAGTGCCCTTCCTTCCCCAGGGCAACTTCAGATGGCTTCAACGCCTGGGGCCCCTGCTCATGGCTCTGCTACAGGGACACCTCACCGTGCTCAGGTTCTTTGGACCCCCACGTGCCAGACCTGGCAGCTGAAGGCCCCGCTCTCCCACCAGTGCAGCCCAGCTGGGTGCTCCAGCAAACTGGTGCAGGAGCTGCTGGTCACCGTGGTGGGGAAGCAAATCACCAACGGCATGCAGGAGGTGGTTTATCCCACGGGTACACTGTGGCTCAGGGCCATGGCACACCTCCAAGACTGTGTCACCTGAGGGCTCCAGGGCCCCAGGAAGCTGAAGGGCTGGTGGCACAAGCATAAGCTCCTCTCCAGCAAGGAGGAAGGGGAGTGGGTCCTGGCAGAGCAGGCTTCCTCAGTGGTGGAGCATCAGCTGCTGGAGTCCAAAGGGCTGTTTGGTCTGGAGATGGGTAGGGACAGGCCTCGGGGTGGGGAGGGATGAAGCACTGGCAGATAGAAAGCTGGTGTGGAGAGCCAGGAGTTCCCCAGAGGAAGAGACCAGCCGAGGGAGATCTCACCTTGAGCAGCCCGTGGGTGCTGAAGGGGGGAGGGTTGGCTCACTCCCCACAGGGTTGGGCTAGGGTGTCACTGCTGCTGTGGCCTCTCAGCCTGTCCCTCTCTGCTCCTCCTCTTCTTCCCAGCCCTGCAGTTTGGCCTCATCACCCTCTTTGTGCTGGCCTGCCCCTGACACCCCTCTCTGCCCTACTCACCCACTGGGTGGAGATCTGCCTGGATGTCCACAAGTTAGTTTGTGACACCCCGTGGCCTCTGGGTTCCCACCCTGGAGGCCATCACCAGCCTGGCCACCATCAGCTCCGTGCAGGGGGCAGGCACCCGGGCGGTGAGGGGCTGTGAGTGCAGCAGGGAATCAGGGGCACAAACTTCTCTGGCCACTGCAGGATGCTGAGGGATGAGGGGATCTGTGGTGCCTCTGGGGTGGGTCCACCCGAGCAGAAGGCACCTCTGCAGCCACAGGTGGTGGGAAACCATCACCCATCGCCCCCCCAGGGCACGTGGCCCTGCTTGGGTTTAACTGAAGGGTTTGCCAGACTGAGGGCAGAGAGACAGAAAGCCCCCTCAGGAGCATGGGGTGTGGAGGAGGTCCTGCTGCTGGGGGTGGAGCGTTCCCTGGCTACAGGACCTGCAGCAGCACAGCTCCCTGCTCCTGGGCCTTCCTCATCACCTCCACCTCTGATTTGCTGCCTCTTGTGTCAAACAAGTGCACCCGTGGCAGCAGCCTGCAAGGCTCTGTGACCTTCACCT